TAATAAAAAATTATCATCTTGCCCTCGTTTATAAACTATTTCAAAAATTTAACCTTCTCAACAAAACATAACACCAATCTATCCCTATTTGACCGTTGACCACCCAGTTACCCGGGTAGACCACCCAATTACCCGGGTAGAAAATTATTTACCCGGGTACACACCCGGTTACCCTGGTACATATCCTTATTTACCCTGGTACACACCCGGTTACCCTGGTACATATCCTTATTTATCCTGGTACACACCCGGTTACCCTGGTACATATCCTTATTTACCCTGGTACACACCCGGTTACCCTGGTACATATCTTTATTTATCCTGGTACACACCCGGTTACCCTGGTACATGTCCTTATTTACCCTGATACACACCCGGTTACATTGATACATATCCTTATTTTCAAATCTCAACCGCGAACCCAACTCAAATCCATCAATGAAGAAAACATGGTTAAGTGTGTTTGTAATTTGTATGGAAAATTTGTCAAGAAAACATCCCCTTTAGCTAGAACGAGTGTTAGTGAGGTATGCACATTGAGACACTCGTCTATAAGGCATAAAGACATCATTGCATATCCATATTTTTTTGTGAATAAGAGTGAAATTATGTATATATTTTAAAATTAATGTGAAGTAAGACGAAATATTTATAAAGATTAAAAGCTTTAATATTAACTGGTTAAAATATAAAATATAATTTTTGAAATTTTCAAAATGACGGGGATAACACGGCTTTTTTTGTAATTTGGTTATGTGAGATGGCCATTGGATGAAATTACAATATATGAATGTACAATCCAACAGCCATCTCACATAACCAAATTACAAAAAAAGCCGTGTTAAACCCATCATTTTGAAAATTTCAAAAATTATATTTTATATTTTAACCAGATAATATTAAAGCTTTTAATTTTAATAAAAATTTTGTCTTACTTCACATTAATTTTAAAATATATACATAATTTCACTCTTATTCACAAAAATTATGGATGTGCAATTATGTCTTTATGCCTTATAGACGAGGGACTCAATGTGCATACTTCACTAACACTCATTCTAGCTAAAGGGGATGTTTTCTTAACAAATTTTCCATACAAATTACAAACACATTTAACCACGTTTTCTTCATTGATGGATTTGAGTTGGATTCACAGTTGGACTTTGAAAATAAGGATATGTATCAGAGTAATTGGGTGTGTACTAGGGTAAATAAAGACATGTACCAGGGTAAACAGATGTGTACCAGGATAACCAGGTGTGTACCAGGGTAAATAAGGATATGTACCAGTGAAACCGAGTAAATAATTTTCTACCCAGGTACGCGGGTGGTCTACCCGGGTAACTGGGTGGTCAATGGTCAAACAGGGGTAGATTGGTGTTATGTTTGTTGAGAAAGGTAAATTTTTGAAATAGTTTATAAACGAGAGGAAGATGGTAATTTTTTATTAGTTAAAGGCTACAATGGTCAAAAAGCCACACACACACACATATAGAAAAACATGTCAGACCAATAAAATCTTGTAAGTTACAAGAATGAAAATGTGAGGAAGAGAGTTTTGTGATATGGTAGAGAATCAGACCTTCAAAATCAATGTCATATCTTGCTAGAAATTCAAGTATGAGTAGTGAAATTTCATATTGGTTAAAAATAGACTAAATGAGAAGCATATAATTGGAATGAGCCATAAACTTAATATTTTAAAGTTTTGGTTTGAAATGTGGTGTCCAAGTCTACTTTTTATTTTGTAACTTAGCCCATTTAACGATTGATATCCCTCTACCGTGGGCTTCTTATATCTAATACTTTAACAAATTTCAATTAGAGTTTCAGGTGAATTGGGTATCAGATAGGGTTTGCAAAATGTGTCAACCCGGCCCGGCCCAACCCGAAAAAAAAGAGCCGGGTTAGGGTTGGATATAAAAGAAAAAAATGAGCCACAAAATCCAACCCAACCCGACCCGAGTCGGGTTAGGGTTGGCTCGCGGGTTGGCTCAAAAATATGGCTCGTGGGTTGGCTTGAAAAAATAGCTCGCGAGTTGGCTCGAAAATTGACTCGCGGGTTGGCTCGAAAATTGGTCGCAAGTTGGCTCATTTTCAGCCTATTTAAATGATCATGTAGTATTAATGCACCAGCTATGTGGCTTCCATTAGCTTAAACAAAAGGGTTACAAATTGAGAAATAAAAGTAAAATATTTTAGTTTCGAATTTTCTTACAAATTTGCATCAACATCAATAAACAATCAGAAGCACTTGCTACCAAGTGTAACACCTCGTATTTCTAAATGCATAATTATATGTGAGAGTATTGATTAAAAGGGTAAGATTAGTGAAAATCCTGAAATTAGGGCTAAAATACGTAAAAATGACAAAATGGTAATTTACCAAACACGTGTCTCTAGGCATGAAAAAATTGAGTAGAAGGTCTCAAATGATAAAAATAATGCCGGAAATGGATTCAGGACGAAAAATCGAGTGGATAGGCAAGTTTCAGAAAATTTGATGAATAGTGACTTTACCGGTGTAAAATATTGCGGTATAATTGTACCGATAAGCGTGAAAATATTATCAGTATTTTTAGAAAGTAAAAATATGACGTGAACGAGAAAAATACGTAGGTTATGAACTTGTGGGTTAAATTAAGTGATTTAAGAAAGTTAAGTGACGTGTGGGACCCACTTAAGTGATTTAAGTCACTTAAGAGACAAAAGTTTGAAAATTTCAAAACACTCTATTTCCTCCCTCTCCTTCTCTCCCATGAGTTGCTTCTCCATTTTAGGGCATTTGAAGCTTTGATTTCTAACTCCCTTTTCTAGCCACTTTTAGGAAACATTTCAACTACAAAGTTGTTCCCCACACTCTTGTGTATGACTTTCATGTCAAGTGCATCTTGTGGGGAGCATTGTGGAGGGAGAAAATCCCCTAAATCAGCCATGAAAATTGGGTGTGTTTGGAGAATTTTTGGGAATTTTTGTGTTTAACCACTGGTTGGAGATCACTCCCTTGGACCATTGGAGGCTATTGGTGGTAAGATTTCACATTCTCATTTAGTTTTCCATGAGATCGTAAATTGGATGAGGGTTTGAAGTTGTAAATTGAGTTATGGTAGTTAGGAGCATTAAATGGTATGTCTCCTTTGAAATTAAATACTTAGAATAATAAATGATGATGATTAATGTAATAAAAATTATTGTGAATTGGGAAGTTTAACTTAGGCAATTTTATGATGAGTTTCAAGACTTTATTAATTGGAATGAGTATGGAATTGAATAATTGAGTTGTGGACCATTGGTAAGAGTTAATTATAGGATTAAAAGATGTGTTTGAGTGTTAAATTAAATTGAAAACCTTGGTGTATGCCTCTTGGAAGAATTTGAACAATAAGGGGAATGTAAGGAAAAGTTGATGTGAAATTATGGTTTAATCAATGATTCATACTTTAGTGCATAATTGGTTGCTTGATGAGTTAGATTGATGATTTAGTGTATAATTGGTGGGTTGGTGAATTACTTTGATGATTCAAGTAGTTAAGAAAATTGAATTAAATGGGAAAGAACCATTAGGCCTAAGTGGCTATAATTAGTTATAAGTCTTGTGAAATTGATGAATTGTTTGCAATTGATTGATGGTCATTGTTGTTGATCATATAGGTTGCCTCTCACGGACACGATAGAAACAGACTAAGCTTGGAGCTTACGTTTTTGGAGCATTATGCTTAGAGTTGAGGTAAACCTTTGGAACTTGGGTTTTAATCCCTTGTATGCTCCACCACACCTAGTGGAAGATTGTGGTTGGATTTTGTGCCTTTAGACATTGTGTGAATATGTATGTTCATGTATTATTACTTGATTGTGTGACATGTTTGGAGCATGTTGTGTGAAATATTTGTGATCTCTGGCCAGTAGATGTGTGTGTTTTGGACTTCCGCTGGAGATATCCTTTGGGAATTCCAGACGGGTTTTGCCGTGGGCCGACTCTGGGAGCTGTACCAGGATGATCCAAACGTGAGACTTTCGCTAGATAGGGCTCGTGGGGAGTTCCAGTTAGGTTTTTCCATGGGGTCGTCTCATCCATGGGAGAGGAACCAGGAAGCTTCCCGGGAGTTATATGATGGGGTCCTTGAACGAAATCTTTATGTGGATGTTCTTGGATTTGTGCCCAGTTGTTTGTGATTTTGTATGTTATGCATTTTACATGATGTTATTGTTGCACATTGAGTGAGCCATAGGGTGGAGTGATCCTCTAGTACCATTGGTTTACTGAGATATATTTGTATATCTCACCCCGCGTTTGGAGACATCATTTCAGGCTATAGCGAGCATGGAGGAGCTTTAGGCAAGAGGCCCGCTTAGTGGTGGAGTTAGATCATGAGGTCCATATGGATAGCATGGCATTTTGGAGGAGCACATTTGATGCACACAGCATTATATTTAGCATTTTGGGACTTAGATTATGAACATATTGCATGTTGAGATCTCATGCTTTTGTGGTGTTCATAATTAGATTCTAAGTCTTTTGTAAGTGATTTACATTTTATGCCTCTTGTCTATATTTGCATTTTGGGTGAGCATGGGACTTCTCCATGGCCACATATTTGGTGTTTTGAGGCATTTGAGCACTTGTGTTGTAAATAGACCATTTGATGTGTAAAATGGCTATGATATTGAGAATTATTGTAATTGATGTATTACATAATGAATATGCATGATGGAAGGGCCTAGTGCCTACATTAGATCTTGTGTAACACTACAGCAAAAGCGGCCTTTAGCCACCAAGTTTTAACCACGGTCTTTTAAAATTTCCAATTTTATTATACTCTTGAAATGCCACGACACCTTTGTTTCTCGCTCTCCTATCTCTTTCTAAAAAACTCAGTCTCGCTCTGAGCTCATAGCATTCATTCACTTGCCGTTTTGGTTTCTTCATCTCTCTACTTTTCTTTTTTTGGTAGTATTTCCATTATTGTTTTGTTCTAATTTCTTAATTTCTCTCTTTCTTAGGTAGGGTTTGGATTTGTGTTTCATTTGCAAAAATAGCAACCATGCTTCATTCTCTATCTTCCTCTCGGGTTCCTTTTCTCCGCCATTTGCAGGTTTTTTATCAATCATTGATTAAGTTCTCGCTTTCAAATTCTTTATAATTTATAGTTTTGATTTTTCGGATATAAAAATTGAGTAGCAAGAATTATTGAAATTTTAAGCCGTCATTGACATTAAAAATTCCAATTACCTAATTCCGCTACCATTTCAAGGGGTTACAATTTCGCTTCTACTTGGGAACAGGTCACCTTCCTTTTGTTTCCACTTTTATTTTTTCCCCTAATTTTTCTTGGCTGTAATTGTCTAGATTTTCTAGATCTCGTATTTTCAATCCACTTTTATATTCGATTATATCATCTTAATTGATTTCTTTTCTTTTAAATAAATCTAAATCTCACTCCGTAATGGATCATATCTGAGATGTGGTCAACTTTTCTTGTCAGTGTTCCTGATCATGAATGGAGCATGACTAAGGTTATAATTGAGTATAGTTTTTCATTCCATTATTAAATGAGTTGTCTTGGTTGGTCCATTTATTCTTTTATTCATTTATTTTTAATTAAAGTCTATAATTTCGTTGCTGTTGGATCTCATGCTGCAGATTGTTAACACATTAATTTCCAATAGAGAATATGCTAATAAGATGCTTATGTATGCTGAAAATCACAACCAGGTAACATACCTTTTTCAATTTCTAGAAGAACTATGAGCTTTATTACCCTTTTCAATTTCTAGAAGAACTATGAGCTTTATTTTTGGTATCGTTTTAAATCTGATTTTTTCTTATCTTGCCACCAGTCTATATCTGAAGGGCGGTCATATGCAGAAATATTGTTTGGCCAAATAGATGAGCATTCACAACACTATAAGGAATCTTTATTGAGGGGATCTTCATTACATAAAGTATGTCGTTCACTAATTTCCATAGTTTTGCTATTTAGCAGTGGAAACTAGAATGTAGAAATCAGAATTGTCTGCCTCTCTCTCAGCTGTTATGCATCGCTGTTATAATATGGGTAATTGTGCTGTAGATTTAGCTTAAATAACTCTATAGGTTCTGCTTCTGAATTCTGTTGATTTAGCATAAATAATTTTGTAGCATAAATTTTATTTTATATTTCTATAGATCACATATCCTTGCATTGGAAATAAATACATACATAGTACTTTAAAAAATCATGAATAAATAAAATATAAGGTGACTTTTCTTATAATTTTTATCATTCTTTATTAATTTTCTTGGCTTTTGTGCTAGATGATCAGATTGATCACGTTAACAATTGGTGGTCGTGCCTATTTGAACTTCATGGGCAATGAATTTGGGCATCCAAAGGTGAGGATTACTCGTATTAAATATTCACGAATAATTCCTTATTTGTGATTGCTAATTTATTAATGTTTTACTTGTGCCAGAGAGTTGAGTTTCCATCATCAAGCAACAACTTCTCATATTCACTTGCTAATTGTCAGTGGGTTCTTTTGGCAAAAGATGGAATTTGCCGTGATTTGTTTTCCTTTTTGATAAGGTGTTAATCTAATCCCTTGGTATAAAATTTGTGCCCTTTCACAAGTTATGACTCATGTCTTGTTGCATAGTAATTGGGTATGGAACTGGCCAATTCATGAATGCCTTAATAATTGTTGAATTCAGTCTTAACTATTTATTAATCATATTTTACTTCAAGCTGTCATTCAGATTTAGAATTTATGTTTGTGACGGGCCTGTAAGCAAACAGAGATGATTAAAATGCTAAGCAATGATATTAATTGCCCTCTTCTTTTCAGGATATGATGAAGCTGGATGAAAATGAGCGAGTGCTCTCACGAGGTTTACCAAACTTACACTATGTGAAGGACAGTTCAATGGTATATTGAATTTGTTTTCATTCCTTTCCCTCCTTTTAGATGATTGGAGGCTAATTTTCCACTTCATTAGTTTCTGGCAGTCAATGGTATATTGCATATTTGCATGCCCTTTTCTTCATTTGTCTTATGGTCATCATGCATTGCTTTCTCCTGTTCATATATACAAAACCCTCTGACATATTCGTGTTATATATTTTGAGTGGTGTATGATATACTATTCCAACAGTTGTCAATGTATGTAGTGAAATTGTGAAACTTGACACTTATATTATTTGCAGGTCATATCTTATATCAGAGGCCCCCTTCTCTTTATTTTCAATTTTCAACCATCTGATTCTTATGATAGTTACAGTGTAGGTGTAGAAGAAGCTGGGGAGTATCAAGTAAGTGTCAGTTCATGCCGAAATTTGTACCTTCTCATGTTATTTTATTTCCATGCACTGTTATCTTTGCTTATTTTAATATGTCTGAAGGCAAAGCTATTGGTTTTAGGCCCTTTAAAGGGATCGCTAATATTTCTGGCACATTTTGATGATCCAGGTTGTTCTGAACACAGATGAAATAAAATATGGAGGTCAGGGGAGGCTTAAAGAAGAACTGTATTTTCAAAGAACTGTCAGCAGAAGGTAGTCATGCTTCTTGAATATCTTCCCTTTACATCGTACACTTTTTTTTTGTAGTATTCTTTTGTACTTTTTATTTTTGTTTTCTGTTTTCTTGTATCCTTGACATGGGCATCATATGTATTGACAGAGTTGATGGCCATCAAAACTGCGTAGAGGTGTCACTCCCTAGCAGAACTGCTCAGGTTGATAATTTTGTTGCTACTGTTACTTTGTTTATTTCCCAAGTACCATAGATCTACACAGTTATGCAAACAAAGCATTGAAATATATCTAAGTTGAAGTCATTCTTCTGAGTTCTCAGCCCCTATTCAGTATCAACAACTGTCACCAATAAGGAAAAATCAATATGAACTACTCCTACGTGTAATTCTAGCTTGTGTTTGATTAGTTATGTTAAATTAAATTGTTTATCCCTATACGTTATACTAATTTTTAATTTGGTCTTTTCATGAAAGAAGTTTTCAAATTGGTTATTGCAGAAATGAATTTACAACAAAACACAAGATACTATCCCTGATATTACCCACAATATGAATTGCAAAAGACAATAATAAGGGAAAGGGTAAAAGAGCACATAATCAAGTAATATTTTAGAGGAGAAGATAAAATTGGTACTGTTACAATGGTTATTGCAAACTATATGAAAACATGAATATGAATAGGAAAACAATTAACATTAAATCAAAAAGTGCATGCCATGCTTACATAAACAAATTAAAATTTAACTTTCACCAAAAAGAATTAAAATTTTAACAAGGGAAATTTTGTGCATCAGGGTTTATCCTTTGCCCTTTATAACTCTAAGAGAGATCATTCTATATGGAAAAACACCTTTTATTTGTGAATGCAATCTTTTTCTTGCCTCTGCCCTTGGTTACATGAATAATAAGCGAGAATAAAATTTAGTACAAAGCAAGAAAGAGTTCGAACCTGTTGGTCAATGCATGAAGAAGGTGCCTCTTTTTTTATTTTTTATCGTGCAAGAGATTTTTGCAAGTTGAATTCTAATTATATCGCACCTTTTGCAGGGGAAGGAGTAGGGGTGGCTCTTTCTTCATTTTAAAAAGTGCTATAGTATATGAAGTTGATTACTGCGGATACGTGGAGCTTAAACGCCCAATTTTCAAGAAAGATCAGGCATTTACTGCAGGAGAATTTGAAGTACTTACTCATATTGGTCAATCTGGTCTAAGCTAATTTCATCCCAAATTCTTTGAGCAATGACACCAGTTAAACTTCATAATGACCATCTTTACGCTGGATTCTCAGTTATTTCTCTCTGGCCATTTTATATTGGAGTCCTCCACAGTCAAAACTACTTTTCTATTATGTATCATAAGGCCTTTTTTTTGTTAACTGGATTTTCCTCCTCTTCCCAAGTTATTGAACTCTTCATTTTTATAAATATAAACTCTACTATATTACTCCTTCTAGGATTACTCACTGCAAAATTTATCTATATCACAAGCCTTCAATCAATTGTTTTGCGAAGAACTTTTGAAGTATTGACTACTTATGCTTGACAAGACTAAGAGTAAGGACTTTATACTTTTTCAGGTTTACAAGTTAAGGCGGATTTTGAGAATTTGAGGCATTATTCTGCACGTGGATAAGAACATGGATTACATTTAACCACTGAAAGCTTTCCTTGGTATGTAAGAAAAATATAAGTTTTAATATGATCCTCAATATTGTATACATGAAAGTGCAGAAGATGGTTAATTGAATGGGTTGATAGTTAACCACTCTCCAAGGTTACCACTGACCACAGCTGCTACATGGGTTATCCTATAATCCCTGGGAAAGCATTCAGAAAAAATAGATCCTAAATTATTGAAGATACAAGGTACTTAAATATGGCATTGCATGTTCTGATAATATGAACCCAGAATTATGCTTGTAGACCCTATTGATCTATATACCACAAATGTCACAGGTTCTGTGTAGAGAGTTATTTGAGACTTATAAAGTGGAACTTATGTTATAAGATACATAAATGTAGAATGCGGTAACTAAAATTATCATATACACTGGGACTGAACTAATGTTCATTTTTTGTACCAAATTACTGTTATATCTGATTTCTCTCTGTATTTCAATCTCAATAAGTGATAGGAGAATGTACAATATTTCTAATTAGAGGATGCATAAAATATCAGCCAGATGATGATTTCTCAGATTATGGGCCAAAAAGTACTGTTCTAGATCATATAATCTATTCAATACCGTGGAGATGAGGATGCATTATACGGCTGCTTTTTTTTTAAATCTACCATTAAATTAGCCACGGTTGTAAAGTGGCTAAACGAACAAATACCGTAGCTAAAGAAATGTTACCACGCTGATATTGCATGTAGCTAACTAAAGGAATGCACGTGGCTAAAATAATGCGACGCCGCTATTAGCCACGTTTTAGGAAGTTGTGGTTACATCATTTAGCCACGTTTTTTGTTCCACTCAGCCACGGTTTCAACCGTAGCTAAATCGAAATTTTTTTGTAGTGTAAGTGGTATAATGAGTACTAAGGTGTTAGAAGTAAGTTACATCACCCTTTTTGTGTTTTAAATATTGATATCTGACATTTTTACAGTAGGGTAATCGATTACCTGAAACAGGGGACGCAAAATTGAGCCAATGTGTTCTAAGTAATCGATTACCTTGACATAGGTAATCAATTACCTAGTTCAGTAATCGATTACCAAAAGGTAGGTAATCGATTATCAAAAACAGGGGAGCCCAAAATTGGCTACTGTCTCATTCTGGAGCTTTTGGTATTCGATTACCCAAAAATGATAATCGATTACCACTGTGTAAAATTTTGAAAATGTGTTTTCTGAAATCTAAAATCAATGGTATTGCTTGGAGTGATGATAATTGGTATGTTTTATGCTTCCGCGAGTTTTGCATTTACAATTATAGCATTATTTTAATTATTTACGGAAATGGTTAATGTTTAACAATGAGGATTTAATAAACGAAAAAAAGTTTACCCGTAATTTAATTAACTCAATGACTGTGATTGTAACTGCGCTTAATACTATATGCAATGATAACATTACCGGTACGTAACGAGCTGTTACACCAAGTGGGTAAGAGATTTGAACCAAAAAGAGTCAGCAGAGCCTTACAATATAAAAATGGCAGGGATATGAGAAGATTAGAGACTTATGTTTAGATAAGGAAGAAAAATGATGACAACATGTGTGGGTTTTGTCCATTTTTGTATATTATATTTTATATTTTTTTATTAAAAAAAAGCTCAACTTGCGAGCTGGCTCGTTTGACCCGCGGGTTGGCTCATTTTTACACGAGCTGACTTGGGTCGGGTTGGCTCGGGTTGGCAGCTCATTTTTGTCAACCCAACCCGTCTCATTTTTGGCGGGTTACGAGCCAACCCGACGGGTTGGCTCATTTTTGCCAACCCTAGTATCAGATGTTTTACAAAGAGGGCCAAGAACGAATCTTTTTAAAAAACCATAAACCTTTTATTAGAGAGGTGATCAAAAATAGTAATTTAACCCAATGGATATAACTTTGTTGGAAAAACAGACTGAGTAGATAAAGAAAGAATCTATGTTCGATTCTCACAGAAAACATCTTTGGGGAAGGATGAGGAGCTTTAAATGTGACTAAGCCCCGATTCGAAATTAGTCTCATAATTGGCTCAAAGAGTTTAAGCTTGTGAGGATACTCAAGGGACTGACTCGTCTCAAAAAAATAATTAGAGACGGTGTACTAAAAAGTAACAATAATTTAAAAAACTTTTAATTTCATAATTTAAATTAAGTTATTTACAATTTAATATATTTCAGAATACACGTGAATATCAGGAAAAATATACTTTATTCTATCTAATATATTTACAATTAAGTTATTTGACCCATTGGTGGAAGAATCATCAGTAACGGGTTTTGGGCTCCCTAATATCATTCTTAACAGTGAAAATATTCAAGTGTGAGTAATGATGAAGTCCCAAATTAGTTAGACACATAGACCAAGTGATGATCACATAAGTACAAATTAAAGACCCATAAATCTACAATATTAAAGTATTTGGTTGAAATATAGTGTCAGCCTATTTATTGTGATTTGTCATTTGACCCATTGATGCAAGAATCTTTTATAAAAAAATTTAGGCTCCCCTATACCATTCTCAACAATAAATTATACATTATATCAATCTTATTTTTTAAATGCTGTAAAAAATCCACTTATATGAATCGTATTCTACATTGAGCCTACATGTTAAGAAACTAATAAAACTTGCCTTATGCCCTTACGAACCTAGGTTTATTTTTTAGGTGGTTGCTTCTTTATTTTTATTTTTTTATAGATACCAACCGGTATCCGAAATCCTAATGAACCCGATTAATACGATTTCAAGTTTAAATCTCTCAACCCTCCCCAAAATTTGGGACACTAAATAACATTGAGAGCCTTGACACTTCCTTTTGGTTGCATTAATAATCATCATTCTCCTCTCTGGCAGGCATGCTCTTCATATTTGCTGTTTCTTTCCATTGTTTTTTCAAGTTAATGAATTTTCATTTTCAGCTAGAAGAAAATTGTTAGGAGAAGATCACCTTTGATCTTATCCTTTAGCAACTAAGTCCTAGTTTTTAGCAAGAATAGTTTGTTATTATTCCATGTATAGTTTGTTTAACAGTATACTTTATTCTAGCTGATCCTCCTTGATTCTGTATAACCAACTTGTGTATATATTGGCTATCAGCCATTTCATTAAATATAACAACATATTCAAATCCTCTTAGTTTTCTATATGGTATCAGTTTGAAGGTATCGATCCACTTTCCCAATGGCTGATTCTGATTCAGATTCTTCCGCTGTCAATATCAATGCTAATGCCAATGCCAATGCCAATGCAACCAACCCTACCCTTACACCGTCTGATCCTCGTTCCCCATTTTTCATGCCCACATCTGATAGCCCTGGTTTATTTCTCACCAATGTTGTGTTAAAAGGTGAAACCAACTATGATGTGTGGGCCAAAGCATTCAAAAATGCACTCCTTGCAAAGAACAAAATCGGTTTCATAGATGGCTCCATTCACAAACCTGCTGCTGTAGCATCTGATGAAACCCACGCTTGGACACTTTGCAACTCCATGATCAACAGCTGGATCCACAACACTATTGATCCACTTCTCAAGCCATATATTCATTATTTCTCCACTGCTAAAGCACTATGGGATGATGTACGCGAAAGGTACTCTATTCAAAATGCTCCTAAAATTTATCAGCTCAAATCCAATCTTTTTCAGCTACGACAACAAGGCATGTCTGTTAGCAATTATTACACCAAATTAAGAGGTGCTTGGGATGAACTTGATGCTGCACGAGCCTTACCAGATTGCCCTCATGGCTCCAATTGTCATGTTACACAATATATCACCAAAGAAATGGCAGATGATAGGGTCTACCAATTTCTATTAGGCCTGGACAATGCTATGTTTGGCACGATTCGAACACAACTCCTCAATCAACCGCTTCTGCCATCCTTAAACAAAGCATATTCCACGCTAGTCCAGGAAGAAACTCAGTTCCATATGGCTCAGACTCCTGACACTCGTAATGATGCACTTAGCTATGCTGCAAGAGAAAATTCAAATCCTCATTCCTCCAATGCTGATCCTGTTCGTTGCACTCACTGTGGTAAATTATACCATGATGTTTCCAAATGCTATCAATTACATGGAAGACCACCATATGGACGTGGAAGAGGACGTGGCAAATCTTATGACAAGCGTCCCAACCCATTCAATTTTTCTGCATCACAAATAGCAGCTGCAGCACCTATAGTGTCCAACCAAAACTCGATTCCTAACCTGAGTCCTGAGCTTCTACAGCAAATTGCCAACATGGTTGTTTCCTCCACTACACCGTCTGCTAACACTACATCCCTTTCTGATAAGCACACTATGCCTTCTACCTGGTTGGTGGATAGTGGCGCTTCTCAACACATGACAGGGAACCTCCATTTAATCTCCAATGTTACATCTATTCCACCCACTACAATAGGTTTACCTGATGGTGATCAACTTGTTTCCAATCACAGTGGCAGTCTTAAGTTGACATCTCATATTTCTCTTCAGAATGTGTTATATGTTCCCAAATTACAATGCAACCTCATATCAGTTGCTCAATTACTTGCTGATACAAATTGCATCATTTCTTTTACTCACAATGGCTGTGAATTGCAGGACCCCATAACGAGGATCAAGACTGGACTGGGTAGATTGCAAGCTGGTGTTTATGTGCATGACTCATCCAACAACAAATCCATCTCTACTGCATGTGCGGCTCACACTCAACAGA